CAGTTGCATAATTTTGTGCTACCTACCCGCTCTTCCGATTAATGGGTATAAGAACTCAGTTCGGGTTTTGGTTCTGTTTTTGTGCTGCAGCCAGCTCTTTGTGTGGAGTTGAAAAAACAGTGAGGGAAAAAGGCAAAAGGCAAAACCACAAAGCTAAACACGAACTGAATGCAAAATTCGCAAGCATGCGTCATTAAGCCGCTTGGCGAGGGAGTGATGGGAAGGAGGGGGGGTTGATTGGGAGGGTAGAGGTGGAGCTAAGGCAATACCAGGAGTAACTGCTGCCGTTTCGGGGCACGCTTCGCCGCTCAGTCATTAAGTGAGTCAGTCAGTTGGCAGTTGGTTTCCAGTTGGAACTTGGAGCTTGAAAGTGCTGACTGACCAGTTACCGAGTCGGCGGGCGGGGGTGGAGTAGACAAGGGGAGCAGAGTGTGGGGCGAGTCAGTGGAAGCGTTTACGCCTACGCAGACAACATTTTGAGCATTTTTCCTGTGGAGCCTCTGGGCGAGTTAGGGGGTGGGGTATGGGGGAGCTGGTAGGCCTAACGTCTGGGCTCGTTAAAAACAATTCGTAGGTGTCTGATAGGGGGGGGGGGGGGGGGTTACGGAGGCCACAGACTGCCTCTGGTCGTTAAGCAGTAGCTGTAAAGGCGACGCTTAGTCATTAAAATCTAGGTGTGAGTGTGTATATGCGTGCGTGTGTCTGTGTGTGTGGTATGGGGGCAGTGCTCTAGCCGAGACTAGGCGGGACAACTACAGATAGTAGATGCATGCAATAATGATAGTAGGGAGTTGTTACAGCTTTAATTTAAGTTGTTCCACATTCCAATTTCGTGGCTAGCTTTGGCTCAATTTAGAGGGGAGAAAAGTAGGTGGAAAACTCAAGCAAAACTTTTTATACATAACATACAACGCTTTGTTTTAGCATTTTTTTAAGAGATTACCAGACTGATATTATACTACATATAATCATGGATACCTAATTTTGTTAAAATTTCACTTCGTTATTTTTCATTATATTAGTTAAAGATTTTTAGGATATTTGTTCAATTTAGTTAATATTTCATCTATTATATCATTTTTCGATTATTAAAAATTGAACACGAACTAAAATTCAAAGAAATTTTCTATTGTTCCCTTTTTTAATTCATTAAAATGTTCATTTTTTTATTTTTTTAAATATAAGCTATCGTGCGGCCCTTGCCCTAAATTTAATAAGAATTCCTTGCCCTCAGTTTAGTAAGTTTTCCTTGCCCCTCAATTCACGAATACTTAATGAAAGCATTTTTTTTGTTGCTGCTCGTTTGCTGGCAATGCAAAGCACAAGCATAGAGCGAAGTATCCTTGAACGGTATCATTAATCTTCTTGCGTTGCTGTTTTTGCTGCTGTGCCTTTGTATACCCTGTAACTAACTATATCTGTAAACAGGGAATACTCAATTGAAATGCTTTCACAAACTTTGAAATGTAACAAATGAAATAAAAATATAAATGTATGTCAAAACTGAAACAAAATCCACGCTGAGCAATTATTAGCCAGGCTTTACTCTTGATTGATTATGACCTAATCAAAAAAAAGGTTTTTTTGGTACAGGGTAGATGCTCTTCGAGCACTACACCCTTAAGCTTCTTACTTGTTTTGTGTGTCATTCGCCGAATACATAGTTTTTTTTCTGTGCACGATTTTTTCTCTCTTTTGTGCGAAATGGCAGCCGCTGCGCCGCTAACTCCCCCACGGGCAGCGGCAATAGCAGCAGCAGTAAACACTGCAGCAGCAACAACAATAAAAGCTCCACAAACTGCAGTTGGCCGTCGTTTCTGTTACTGTTGTTGCTGCTGTTACTGTTGTTGCTGTTGCTGTTGTTGCTGTTGCTGTTGCTGTTGTTGCTGTTGCTGTCGTGGTCGTTTTTTGTGGATTTCACTTTTTTAGTCATCTCCATTTACTTTATTTGCAATTTTGACTTGAACTTTTTCAGCTCCCCCCTTATTGCAGACATCAGGCACAAGAGTGTTGCGAGGGGCTCAATTCATTTGTTGTTTTATTTATTTGTAGTTGTGTGAGTTTGTGTCTGTCTGTCTGTGTGTGTGTGTGTGTGTGTGTGTGTAATGCAATGACCTCGAACTTCGTTTGCTGTGCATCTTTGAGTTTTTTGCATTCCATTTTTGCATTTGCCCGCTGGGCTATTCATTGGCTTTTGGCTGCGGGTCGCTCGCTGTTTCGCCAAGTTTAGTTGGTCAGTTAAGTGCCAGCGAGTGGAACGTGGTGGGATTTGTGGGCCAAAAGGTTGCGATAAGTTTGCTAAGTAAACCTTTTTTAACTCCGCGCATTGGAAAGCCCAATTGACATGGCTTAAGGTGCGAATTGATGGCGTTCACATAGTTAAGTTTTTCTCAAAGCTTTTTTCAAAGTTTGCACAAAAGTTTATTTAGACTTGATTGCAAGTGTTGGGAAAATGCGTTTACTTTGTGCGTGTGTGTGAAGGAGAGTGCGAGGGAGAGAGAGCGAGAGAGCACGCACTAAAGTTATCTGCAGAGCAGCTTTTGTATGTGCACTAAAAGAATATTTCGGCTGCACTTTTGGCAGCTGTCCGCAGTATGTGAGAGAGTGGGCGAGAGAGAGGGAATTAAATGCGGGCGTTGAAAATAGGGTACGGCTGCTGTCAAATTATGCAGGCAAGTTTTGTATATGACAAACTTTGTGCTATGCAAATTTGTAAATAAACTTCTAGCTTATAACTTTAATTTACAGTAGTTGATTATGGTTATGACTGTTTCGCAACATTTTAACTACTTCCATTTCGGTCTACCCCACTTTTTATCATTGCCAAAAACTAAATTGCATGCAATACTTTTTGGTCTTCATAAAAATCAATAAAATGCTCCTGCTCACAACTCACACGAAAACACACAGACACAAACATGGCGCTGCAACTACTACCAATGCAACAAAACACAGACACAGGATAGACACTCAACCCTTTACACGCATACACACATAAACGCACACAGCCATTAACAATGCCAATAAAAACTGCAATACTATTTGCCTGTGTGCGTGTGTCGGTGTATTTTTATGCATAAAAGAAACTCCACGGACGCAGCAGCCACTGCTCCAACGAGTTGGCGCTCTCTCTCTCTCTCTCTCTCTCTCTCCCTGTCTGTGTCTCTCTTACGCTGACGCTCACCAATACACGTTAAAACGCCCCCAAGCTGCAGTTATATGTACCATCAATATATGCTCTCAACTCGTTCGCTCGCGTGCAGTCGCTGCGCTCTGCAACAGCGACGTCGACGCTGCGTCGGTGCCGCTGCCGCTGTTGACGTTCTGGCAACATTTTGCGGTTGCTCTCGAAATCTAAATTTCAAGTTCGTCTCCTGCAATTTATCAGAGAGTTTGTCTGCCTTTTGCACTTTTTGGCCAACTTCGTTTGGTTAGCCCTCTTCATAACAGCACTTCAAAACAACCCCGCCTCACACCGCACGCCCTCCCCGACCCGACCACACAACCCGCTCAACAGTCGGTGAATTTCTGCATCCATCCTGTGGCCCGTTTTATGGGCAAGCGCAGAATTACGAGCAAAACGAGCAGCGCGTCGCAACCTTCCAAACTCACAACTCTCGTTCTGGTTGAAAACGAAACCGGATTTCTTATTGGTTTTTTCTCGTTTTTTTTTTTTAGAAGTTTTGTCTTGTTCGTTTTTTTTATTTTTTACATTTGACTGAGTTTTTGGAATGCAGTTTTATTGTATTTCACCTTATTTTGGTTTATTTTGCTCTTGCTGCAATTTGGTTTTAATTTTTATTTTTATTTATTTTGTTACCTGATTCACCGTTTCCGTGTAGTATTTTGCATACTTGCGTAGTAGACGAGTTTTTTATTTTGCTTTTTACTGGGAGCTGGGCAAAAAAAAAACGAAATTCAAAATAACTTTGTTTTGGTTTTGAAATGAAACTGGTTTTCCTGGCCGTCGAGCCAGGAATTTCTTGAATGAGTTGGGAGCTGAATGCAAGCTATTTTGATTATCTAATGGTTACATTTAAGAAACACAGCCGTTCTGGACACCCGGCGCACTTGCCTCAAGGTATGATATGAATGAAAGCGTAAGATAATCATGAATCGTTCCCGCTCTCAGCTAAACTCTTTGAACCTTAGTGCAACCCCCGCAGGAGCTCACCTCGTGTGTGCCTTGGTCCTTTATAATAGTTTAACTCCTTTGGCAGTCATAAAAAGTGTTTGCTTTGAGGGGCGTGTCTTTCTCAGGTCGTAGCAAACACAAGGATTTGCACATTTGAGTAAGTACTGACAGGTTATTCGTAAAATACAAGAACTAGGAATTGTCAAGGAATTAAGTTCTTATAAGATACTAGAATAGTTAGGTCCATAAGAGGTTGTACAGAAAATTAATTGAGTTCACATCTAATAACCTCTATTACTCTTTCCGCTCTTTCCTCCATGGAAAACATTCGAGAAATTTGGTTCCGGAAAAGAATAACACAATTGGAAGAACTAGGCAGTTGGACACTTATTCGCTTATTCGTAAATTACAAGAACTAGGAACTGTCGAGAAGGAATTAATCCATCTGGAAGAAAGTATCGAGTATGAGACTAGAACTAAACTATTCATATATTTACAAGAAGGAATTTAGTTAAATCCATAAGAGGTGTTACAGAAACTTAATTAAGTTCACATCTAAGAACCTCTATTACTTGTTCCGCTCTTTTCCGGGAAGATTACCACAATTGGAAAGAACAAAGCAGTTGGATACAGAGCTATTTGTAAATTCCAAGAACAAAGGAATTAAGTTCTTCCATCTAGAAAAAAGTATCGATAAAAAAGGAGTTTTACTGAAACTTAAGAGTGAACACCCAACAACCTCTATTACTATATTCAATTATTCCTTCATGGAGCTGAACTGAAATTGAAGAAGTTTTAAGTTGGGTATTTAAGGAATTTTGTCCATCTGTAAACTATTTGTGGAGCTCAGCCCAAGCAAAACATATTTGTCGCGTTTTTTTTTATTTGCCCACCACGAAACAAATGTGTTTAAACATTGTGACAATACTACTGCCTCGGTTTCTTGTCTAAGTGGAGCTCCTGGCTGTCGTTATGAGCCATAATGCGGTTTGATTCCACGCTATAAAGTTGAAATTCGACGTAAGGTTTCCGCACATTGAGGGTAACCACAATGCAGTAGAGAAGCATCAGCAGCTGCTTGGCACGCAGGACATAGGAGGCGCCCATGTTGTCGGGAAAAAGTGGCCTATCCCACTCGGTGCAGTCATAGAGAAAGTAGCCACCGTCCCGGCTGGAGGAATACCCAAAGGCTATATATCGATGTTGGCACACAAGTATGCCCAATTGAGAGCGGGTGAAGAAGTAGTTGAGCGCCTCGTAGAGACCCATTATATTGCTGGCGGGGGAGCTGTAGAGCTGGCCAAAGCCCACCAGCTGCAGCTGGACCATGAAGCGCATGTCCTGGAAATCGCACTCCAGTGGCAAATCGTTCAGGCCGGTCGGCTTTTTGTGGCCGCGGCTGTTTAGCAGGCTCTTGCGATAGTATTTGTCGCCGTTGATGACAATGGCGTCGAGGAACTTGGACGTCCACTCGCCCAGGCTGCGAAAAACGCTGGCCGCACAGCAGGCGACCACACAGCAGGCCAGCGTCTGGTGGCCCCGCGTTAGGCCTTCAAACCAGGTGGAGCGCGGATGCAGTCCACCCCAGAGCGACCAGAGGCGCTCGATCACCTCGACATCGTATTTGAACCACTTGTTGTTACTCTGGAGCCGTCCCGCACCCACCATATTGCGAGGCAGTCGCCTGCTCCAGATCGGCAGGCTCTGCTGTGCCGTCAGCCACGTCATCGACTCGCAACGGCCCGTCGAGGCTTTGCCGAACTCCAACTCCCTTATAATAGCGGCGATACTCATGTGTGCCCAATCTTTGTGGTGCAGCATGCTTTGGCAGCTGGGCGCGCAGTGGCTGGAACTTGGGGCGATCTGATCCGCACCAGCGGTTGGAAGACGTGGAGGAATACAAATCGCCAGTCAGGATTTCACGTACAAAATTTTTGCTGCAAGGCAACATATCGAAGCAACTGCCTGTTGCAAGTATCTGCTACGTTCAACACGAGCCGATACTAGCTTCAGGACATGAACAAAAAAAAAACGAAAAAAAAAACAGTAGACAAAAAATTTTGGAGGTTTTCTACAACGGGCAAACAAAAACCGACTAACTAATCAGGCATATACCGTAGTGGAGTTGAGTTAGGCAGCCAACTTAGATTTAAACAAACTATTCATGAATTCTATCTTCTCGTATTACCTATATTCTGTAGAACTTCAATTGCCGTTACATTTAGGGGTGCTCACAATTAATATCGAATTTTTAACATCGATTAACAATATCGATGACTCAGTGTATCGGAATATTCGATATCGATACACCGACTTTTCTTATAAATATGCAAATTCAAATATCGATAGTTGTAGATCAACAACAAGGACCCAAACCTCGTGAAAATCGGATGAGTTTTGAACGAGATATGGGGGTGGAAAATATTGAACAATGTCTATGACTAACATTAAGAAATATGTTCTTCAATAACTATGGTATTAATAGGCAGATCATTACGAAATGTTCAAGGCTTAAATATCGCATATATTATCGATTTCATGAAAACGAAGCCAAAATTCGATGAATTAAGATTATGCCATAGGTCCTACGGTCAAAATGTCGACGTCTATAGCTCTAGTCCCAGCTCAATTATATATATAGTAGACCGTGACAGAAAACAGAAGATACCTATTTAGGATATGATTCCCAGGCCAGTTCCGCCTATCTAATCAACCATCGAAGAGTACGAAGAGTACAGTACAAGAGAAGAATGAATCTTAAAGCCAACTATTATTGAACATTTGGATATTTATTTCTTGACGTTAGCCGGTTAATAGTTGAAGACATACACAGAATTTGAGTTGCCCACATTTCATGACTTTACCTCCGAACATAATTACGTATGCAAAGTGCCATAACAAGGCCCATAATCAGGGTAATTGCATTCGGAATGGCGCTCATAAGTGTAATTGGTAAGTTGAGAATGCTGTTGATATCCCAGCAGAAAAAAAAAAATAAGAAGCTACCGAGTCCGTTCCGATGCTTGAAGGGAACCCATAATTTTACAAACAAGCCCTATTTCTTTTCCGTGTGACCCTGAAGTAGTCGAGTTTTGGATGTGTGAATTTCCGTCTCGATCCGCGTGAGTCTCTGTCCAATTCTTTCGCGCATCGACTGCAGCGCCATCATATCTTCATAGGACTTCTCCCTATTGGCGAGGGTATCATTATACTTGATGTTGAAACTGTCCACTTTTGTGTCCAACTTGGTGATTTTCTTTTCGATGCCCTCAATGCTATGGGTAAGTTTTTCGGATCGCAGGATGAGCTCATTTAAGGGCTCCATCATTTTCTCAATGTCGGCCTCGACTTGCGTTAGACCTTGACAGATCTCCAAGTCCTTGTGCTCCGTCTGCTTATCCAGATTGCCCTGTACACCGTTATCGTCTTTATCAAACATTTGGTAGTCGAGGCTCATGTAGTATTGATGGACCTTTTCGATACAAGAGTTGAACTTCTCCCATTCCTTCATGCCTGGATGGCTGTCGATGCGCAGAGTGAACTCTTTTATAAACTTATTCATATCTGCTATTTCATCGGGGACCTCTTTTTGGGGCTTCAATTTTCTGAGAATGTATTCCTCCAGTTCATTTTCTAGATACATTTCCTCTGCAAGAGACGTCTTGATGTCGCTGCTCAACAACCTTATGAATTCGTCATCTGAACTTATTTCAATGGTCTTCACCTCCTGCGCTTCTTCTTCGGTAAAATAATCGACTGTCTGCTCTGCATCGGAACTAGACTCTTGCATTATTCCCTTCTGCAAATATTGTATTATTTTCAGCGTTAACTGGACCTACTAAAACCCGCACAGACCTCTATCAGTATACCCTTCACTTGGGCATAGCTGGAATCCAAGCTCAGTATCTCAACCAATTCGTCACGCGTCTGTTGAACCGTTTCTTTCCCGCAATCGCCAATTAGCTCCGCACTGCGCTCCTGAGAATGTGAATATTCTGCGATTCCTTGCTGCAAGTTGCGTTCAGAAGAGCTTATATATATATTCGGAGTTAAGTGTTTATACCTCTATTAGTATGCCCATATGCTGCACTTCCGTAGCCCCGGAACTCTGCTCAACACACAGCTCGTCTCTGCTCTGTTTAACGAATTCTTCGTCCTTGCCCAAAGGCAGCTGCGTACGTAGATTCATATTCTGGGTGGTGCTCTTTAAATAGACAAGTTCGATGTTTGCATTGTCCGAGCCTTTGGATTGTTGTTCAATGCTATTATTTACGAAGGTGGGCATTTCTTTTTCCATGATATCAAAATTTGGAGAATTAATTTTAAGGTTTGTATTTTCAGAGAATCCAATTCAAACTGCGCCTGCTGCACGAGTTTAAATGAATAGCACAAAATTTTGATTGACGTAAAACGCAGAGAATTCTGTCAGCAATATCAGAGCAATTGTGACAGAGATTTTTCTATCCAAGTTGTAATGAGATGTAAGAAAATATCGAAATATCGATCTATCGATTTTGGCGAAAGCTATGTTAAATGATTTTAACGCGATCTTCGTCGGTCTACCGCACCGATATCAACAGTAGATACCCAACAAACCTATTAGCTGTTGAAAACGACTAAAAGTACAGAAAGCACAGAATTAACAATCTACCCTGTGCATACATGGCATACAAAACAAACGACTTGTTCCCATTTATACCCAATATCTGCAAAAATTCTAGACTTAACTTTAAATTGGGATCAGGGATCAGAAAGTAAAAAAAAGGCTTTCAAAATTAATATTCTTAAATAAACTCAATTTAAATATATCAACTATTCCGATATATCGAAGCATCGATTTTTTCCTTGACTATTTGTTTATCCGATACAAAAAACGATAAACACCTCGAACTGACATCACTAACGAAATAGCAGCAGTGTTGCAAACTGCAAAAAGTAGCTATTTAATAGCGAAATATAGCTGGAGAAGCACAAGTTGGCTATCAACAGGATTGCTAGTACTCGTCATTTAGATATCAGCAAATAGCTAGATCAGTTTAAAATTTTAACTGCCTAAGGCTGACGCTCTGTCAAAATAAACTAATTTGACGAGAACGATAAAATATCGATAACAATAATGGTTTATCGATATAAAAAACTATTGGAGCTGGTTGCAATTCTCAAGAGAGAAAGTTTTCAGTATGGAATAAATTTGTTTTGATATTGGTATTAGAAATAAATGAAAGAGATTCCCAATAGCCAAGAGCTACTGGGACCTTGATAGAGAATGAAGAATGTCAGCGTTTATTGTTGGTTTTTCTGCTGCATGATTTCTTATTCGAGGGTATATCCATGTTGTCAGCTATGCGTGGCATTGCCGTAACTACCGTAAAGTCGTCTACAAGAGAACGAGTGCGAGTAAATGAAGTTCGCGTTGCTGCCACGCATTAGGGTAACCAATAATTTAAGACATCGTAAACACATCGTAAATTTTGCACAAGCAAATTTAGGCTTTAATTTTCTATAAAAGACAACGGACATGGAACTCGAGACTGAAGACGTTGTCGTCTCGGTTGGGGCATTCCTTTTCCAGTTGCTGGCTTCGCCGTGCAACTGCAGCACGTAATTACAGCCCATTAATTTTTGTGTGCTTCTCGCTGCCTGCCGCTTCTTTCGCTTCTTTCGCTTGGCGCATGCATGATAAGTGCCACTTGCCCAGCCCACAGACTCCAGTAACTCCGTACCACCGTGCCACAGTGCCACCGTACACACTTGAGAGACTGGGCCTCCCCTTTGACGCCTCCCTGTGCCCCGTTGCGTATTTGCTTTGATGAAAATGTTTCCCATTACTTGGTTTCTTGGTTGGGCATTGCCTGCCCCTCATTCGCCTGGCCGCCGCCACCTCCTCCTCCTCCTCCTCCTCCTGTTGCTCCTTCTTGAGTGCTCACCATGCAACGGTCTTTGTCGAGGTGTAACCTATATTTTTCTGTTATTTTTAATTAGAGGCTTCTCTGTGTCTGTCTGCTGCCTACCATCGTTGATTATTGTGCAGCATGTGGCAGCATGCCTGCGCCTCGGACAGTTGGCACTTGTGCAACGCGTGAAGCCAATTTGAGCAGCATTGGGATTCCAGCTTGTAATTACATAACTCGCAGCTGGAACTGCGACTGGAGTTAGACTTGGACTTGGACTTGGACTTGGCTAGCAGCACCCTTCGCCTCTCTGACCCCACCTTTCCACCAAGAGTGACTGCATCCGCCAAGGCCTTCGGATGGGTTAATCAATTTATTTAAATGCTAAATGCTAATGAGCCTAATTATAGATTACCCACAGATTGTTATCCTAAAACTGATGGCAGCGTAAATAGCCTCAAATGGCGTGTAGTACGTGTTAAGTCTGTCTGGTATTTCAAGAATGAAGAGATTGGAATGCTCCATAGGAATCAAACAAATAGACCCATCAAATTACGGAGCGCATTAGGAAAGGCGTTTCAAGTTAAAGTATTTTTAGTTACTCGCGGATAATCCGCGCCATATTATATATTCTTATTTATGTTTAAATATATAAATTTGCACTTACCTTACAAATTCACTTAAAATCGCCCGGTGTCTTCTATCAGAAATCAAGAAACAGCCTATTATTCAGACAACACTGCAAAAAAAAGGAAGAAAAAAGTAGATTAGAATGAGTGCAAGAGCAAGAAAAAGATATCACATATGATAGAGAGAGAGAGAGAGAAAGAGAGACAGAGAGAGAAAGAAAGAGAAGAAATTGAGAGAGGGAAAATATAAAGTTTATTAAATTGGGAACACAACTTGTTGAAACAATTGCAATCAAAGCATTAAAGTCAGCAAGCACTACTTGAATTCATGAGAATCGCCTAGTAGGGCACTAAAAATACATTTTTTCAATTTGAGGCGCAGTGGGAGGAGGAATCAAAGAAGTCAAGTTAACATGGTGAGCATACATACACACATAATTACAAACATATATAAATACATACATACATCATACATACATACATACACACACTCACATACACACATACATACACACACACATACACACACACATACATACATACATACATACGTATATACATATATACATACATACATACATACATACATACATACAACTCATTTGTGTCTTGTGACGTGTTCTTTTCATAATCAGGGAAAAAGGTACTCAATATTCAATCGGACGGATATATACATATACTTATATACTTATTTCTTTATAATTTCGTAAGCAGTCAATTGTGATTATTAAAAACTTAATAAATTTATTTATTAATAATATTGTTTATAAAATATGAATATTTTTATATGCGAATTTTAAATATTAAACAATTATTGCTTCTATTCAAATTAAAATTTTCATTAGATCGAAAATATAAAACGTATTAAAAATAAATGCACAAATAAAAAAAATGATTCGTCATTCGCAGTCGGTAGGATTCGAACCTACGCTCCCAGAGGGAATCTGATTTCTAGTCAGACGCCTTAACCGCTCGGCCACGACTGCCCGTTGAGCATCAGCGGAACGTTTACCCATATAAGCACCCGAAGACAACGATAACCACAAGAGGGCGAGTTATTAATATGATTAGTTCTCAAGTGGGTCAATTGAGTAAATAAAAAGAGATATGATAGAAATAGAAATGAAATTGAATAAATTAATTAAAAATAGTTTGCAAGAATGGAAAAGATTTGATTGAAAAAATTCCGTAGAAAATGTTCATGAAGAGCGAAATGGACAGCGAAGAGGCTGTAAAATGCGCTGCAACGAATCGGCTGCAAATCAAGGCGTCAATTAAGAGGAGAAACGCTGGCGGCAGGCCGCAGCAACAAAAAGGTGGAGCCAAGCGGCGATCCACTATCTCAGCCACGCTCCGACTCTGATCTTGCCGAGACGACGACCAAAGCGACTGAATAGCGAAGATCGAAGACCTGCGGCTGTCGACTCCTCGACTACCTGGACTCTTCATTGGCACCTGTAATTTTTTTCGTTTCTTATTTTATTTTGTATTTTTTTTATTTTATTATTATCTGACGGCGGTGATTCACTTTGATGCCGTTCAGTCAACCAACCCGCCTCCTAAGCCGCCGCTGCTGCTGCTGCCTATCCAAAGATATTGATAAAGTGTTAACAGTCGAAATTGATTGCCAGACAGTTGGCCACTGCGGCATTTGTCGCCAATTTGATGGAGCTGCATTTCAACAGTTGTCGCCGACTAGTGAGAGACAGGACTCTTGATAAATCGTTGCCTGCACTGTGATCACCAGATAACCAAGACAATTGTCCAGGCTGGACGGACAAATAGTAAAAAAAAACCTTTGTGGGCTCTGATGAGAAGCAGCTATTTTTGAACCTTGCGATAATATTCAAAATTTAACAAGGACAAATATACGGACTCAACCTATTTCTCAAAATCTATTAGTTCCAGAACCTCGTTGTGGGTGTTCTTAGATCTAATCCTCTATCAACTATCTGGAAAATAAGTTCCATACTTTACATATAGCTCAGCCTAATGTCCACTTAATCTTCAACAGTTTTCCCTAATTGGTTTTTCTTTGATTTTCCTGCAGCAAAGTTCAGATCGTTACCGTTAGTTGGATGAGCCAGCAACAATGCTGGCTGGTGGGTAGCTAACCCAAATACCAACGCATTGTTGAGGCTAATGAGCTAAGCACTTAATCGCCACAGTACCAGGTAATTCCAGGTAATTCCAAAGTCGAAAGACTTCGCCTCGCATTCCTGCAATTCATTCTGCGCGCAAGTTTAATTTAGCAAGCGCTATAAATCAAATCCGCGTACCCATCCACAGCTAAATGAAGTAGTTACCAGTGTCGAGCAACTGCCCCCGGACCCATTCATCACCAGCGGGGAATTCAATTCACGCCTGCCAGGAATGCCTTTGACACACGCTGACCAGGTAGATCTGTACCTGCTGCTGCTGTTGCGGCTGCTGCTGTTGTTGTTGTTGTTGTTGCTGCTGTTGTCCGAGGCGATAATTAGCGCTCAATTGTCGAACGTCATCTCTAGGCTCTGGTCTGGTCTAGGCCCTGGTCGCACTCGTAGTTTCATTCGCGATCATCAGGCGGCCTTTTGTTGTGTCCGGGCGTACGTGACGAGCACCACAATTGCAGTCCATCAATGACGCAGCTCGAAAACTCTGCTGATGATCACCTGTGATCACCTGCCGCATGCCTTAGCAGGCTAAGACTCCAGCACAACCCAACCCCGCCCAACCCAACCTCTCGTTTCCTTCATTCCTCCTGCTGCCATTGTAGACAATTGCTGGCTGATTATGGGCACGCCCAATTGTGATTATACGCATATTGAATGGGTTCTATTTTCTCAACAAATCCGGCTGAAGCTTTCGTAGTATTTGCTATCTAAAAGGAAGTCTCAAAAATCGAGCTATGCCTTACAGATGATCTCTGGCCAGAAGCGTACTTTGGCAGGCAAAGAATATGATATGGAGTTCCACATATTTGCCATTTATCTCAAGTTTAACTAAAGTTCGAAGTATATATTTAGAATATAGAATTTTATAGCTGGCTTCTAAGGGAATTATATATCATTAGAAAGCATGTGGTAAATCGAGTTGAAAAAGGGGTTTACCGAATATGATTAGATCGATTTCTTACTTGCAAGCAACTTGTAAATTTAACAGGAAGGTAAAATTGCAAACTACTTGAGCATTGTTTTGGGATAAAATTTGATTAGTAGCTGCTAATTCTCACTGAAAGAACTTTGGTTTAACTTGGTCAAGCAGAATTCAATATATTTAAATTCTTTTCACCTATCGATCAGGCTGTAAACAGAATTCAATATATTTAAATTCTATTGTAAGTCGACAAGTGCTTAGCTGTGCTTTTAACGATGCTTATCAACATTTTCTTTGGACAAAGCGCTTCGGTATAATCTTGAATCTGCCGCCAATCAGGCTTTCGGGTCTAACTGAACAACCCATCCGAGCAACTCTTCCAAATCAGTGACAAATGTTGTCAAAGCGCATTTCGCACTGTTGAATCAACAGGATGACAAGAGGCGATAAATCTGGTTGGGGATTGGGGATTGGGTATTGCTAAGAGCTGAAACATAAATGGCCTGGTGTTAGGTGTCAGTTATAGGCACTGACAACTGTCAATGATAAGACCACACACACATCAGGTTTGGCAGTGAAAAATGAACGAGGGGGCAACAGCACGCAGTTTTTCAATTAGCCAGCCCGGAACGAGAGAGCGGGGGTTAAAAGCACTTGCGTGCCTGCAAACAATTTCTCGAGGGGGATTTCATAACAAGTTGCTGGAATTTGCAGAGTTACAACATGCGATAATTGTGAAATTGCCTGGAATTCTGTTTTACATAATTGTATCAATAGTTGGATTAACAAACATCACATCAACAAGCCCAGTGTCGGCCCCGGCCTCGGCCTAAGCCTCAGCCTCAACCCCAACCATATTCTCATACTCAACTTCATCAACATGCGCTCCTTCAGTGGCCATATGAGCTGTCAGTTTGATTTACTTGCAGCTGATGTGTCTATATAGCTGCTGGTTCTGGTAATGGGGGGTCTAACCCGGTAGTACCCCTTCGAACCCTAATTAGCCACTTGGCAGGCCCATGGCATGACACGTGTCCCTCGTGTTAACTCAAGTGTTGCCAGCGACTGCGGCTTTTGGTTTGTCATTCGTTTGCTTCGCTGGCAGCTTTGTTATTTGAGACCAACAGCCAGACCAGACCAGACCAGACGCGACCAACCTAACCCAACCCAACCAACCAAGCAACCATTGAGCTCGTGCCATAGTCTCACTCCTTGGATCTGGTTCCTGACATTTCTCGTTTCCGGTTTACTGCATTTCGTCATCGTCGTCATCTTCGTTCTGTTGCACTTTTC